TAGGTCGTCCTCCGAGATATCGGTGCCGGACCGGCGGGGCGGGGGCGGGGCGGCGTCGGAGCAAGTGTCTCGGCCGTCGGTCGACGGAGCGGCGACCCGCGAGCACGCTTCGTCGGCGCCCGACGAGGGTGGTGCCGCTGTCGCTCTGCCGCGTGCGCAGGCGTGCGCAGGCGTGCCGAGGTCTCGCGACGGCACTCAGCCCGAGCCCCTCCGGGCGCTCGATCGTATGCTCGTGGAGGCGTCGCGCGGCCGCAGTCTTCGCAGCGGCGGCCGCCGCTGCGGTGGATGCGGGCCAGAAAGAAGGCCGCGCGCGCGGCCAGGGGCCAGGGCTGGCTCTGGCTCGGGCGAGGGCGATCCCGGTTGTCCCTCCGCGGGCGCCTCTGGTCATGCCCGCTTGCTCGACGGCTGGGTTGTGCGTGCGCGCGACTCTCGAGTCGTCGGCGAGTAGTGTGCGCGGGCGGTGGGTGCCGTGGAGATTAGGGGAGACGTCGCTTTGAGCTGCGGGTAGCGGGACCGGGAGATGTTGGGAGATACAGACACGGCGGTACGGTGTCTGGAGTAACATCTCAGAGGTTGAGCAGCGCAGGGGGTGTGCACCTGCCCCCCCATCTCCGGTCCAACGAGTAGAAACATGTTTCCAAAAAGCAGCTACGCCCCGACACGACGACGAGACTCACTCCCCTGGTCGCACACGCTCCCCCCTCCCCGACACTCGCAGCAAGCAGCAAGGATCGGGCGGGAGAGGAATTAGCTCAGAGAGACACGCACTCACACACTCACACACACACACACACACACACACACACACACACACACACACACACACACACACACACACACACACACACACACACACACACACACACAGAGAGAGAGAGAGAGAGAGAGAGCGAGCGAGCGAGCGAGAGAGCGAGCGAGCGAGAGAGAGAGCGAGAGTACAGTACAGTGATCAACAGAGACCCCCACCCACACGCCGCGCAGTGTGGGAAGCGACGACGAGACTCACTCCTCGCACTCGCAGCACGGATCCAACGGGAGGAACGAGGGGCCGCCCAGGCAGCCCCCGGGGCACGCGCAGCCGTTACGGTGCGCGTCCTGCCCGCCGCCCGGCATCGGCGCATCCTCCGCCGCCGGGGCCGGCGGCTCGCCCGGGATTGTCGCGTCCGTCATCGGCGCGCCCGGCATCGGCGCGTCCGGCGGCGCGCCCGGCATTGGCGCATCGTCCGCCGCGGACCGCGGCGGCCCATGCGCCCCACAGTAGGGCACGGCCACGCCGGGCGTCGCCCGCAGGAACGCGGCAAAGGAGTCGTGGTCGAACGTGCCCTCCATGATGGCGAGCCGCGTCGCCGCGTGGGGCGGGCGGTCGATGGCGTCGACGACGACGACGCCCCACGCGTGCTTGACGGCGTCAGCCTGCTCGAGCCCGCGCAGCCACTCCGCCGCGTCCTTCGCGGTGCACTCGTTGTACGACGACGTGCGGGCGGCGAGCATGCGCCGCATCGCCAAATAGTCGCAGTCGCTGCAGCCGGCGCGCTGCACCACGGGCGGCAGCGTGTAGCGCGTCACGGCCGGGAGGTGCTGCGCCGGGAAGCAGAGGGCGTCGCTGCACGCCGGGCAAAGGGCCAGGTGGCGGAGCGCGAGCCCCGCGCGAGTGCGCCGCGAGTGCGCGAGAGCCGCCGCTAGGCGGCGGTAGCTCTCATAGAGAGCGCCTGCGGGCTGCTGCTCGCGCAGCGCCACCTCGAACGCGAACTTTGCGTCCGCGACGAGCTGCGGCGCGTGCGGCGCCTCGCCGTGCGCCTCTGCGTCCGCCTCGCGCAGCGTCAGCGCGACGCCGCGCCGCGCGCCGAGCAGCCGCGCGCGCGTCAGCCAATGCGACGGCCAGCACTGCGGCAGCAGCAGCTCCTGCCCACCGGCGCCGCGCCAGGGCTGCTGCTTGAGCTTTGGGTCGGCGCGCCATTGCGGCGGCTTGGGGAGGCACTGCCGGTACCACAGTAGCAGGCGCGCGTCGAGCTGTTGCGTGGACAGCGAGTCCGGGTCGCACGAGAAGGCGTTCGGGTCAGCGTACGGGCCCTCCATCGCAGCCAGCTCGTAGTGCATCTCAGCGCCCATGCTCGGCGGCCTGTGATCGCCGCCGTACGTCTGCAGGAGCCGCCGCACCTCGCGGACGATGGTCCTGTTGAAGGCGATGGTGGTGTTGTCCTTCTCGACCGCCTCCGTCGCCTCCCCCTCGCCCAGCGGCTTGTCGGCCGTTTGGTACGCGTCCTTTGTCTCGACGGTGCCTCCGTCGGCCGCGTCGAGAACGCCCAGCAAGGCATCAGTGGCGATGGAGAGCGTGCGCGCTGACGCCTCGCGAGCCGCCTCCCCCTCCCCCTCCTCCTCGCCGTCGTCCAGCTGCTCGAACAGCCGTGCAGCCGTCTTTCCTGCCTGCGCTCGCCGCACCGCGTTCAGCTCCTCCTCGGCCGCCGCGCCCTCCGAGGCCTCCGCCGCCGCCGCGGCGGCGGCGGCGGGCGACGGCGTCGCGGTGGCGGCGGCGGCAGCCGCAGCCTTGCTCTCCGCCCGCTTCGCCGCCTCCCGCAGCCTCTTGTGGCGCGTGGCGCGCGCGGTTTTGGCTTGCCCGGGTCGCTTGGGGTCAAACTCGATGGTCTCGATGCGCCAGCCGTCACGCGCGTATGCCTCGCCGAGCGCACGCGAGACCCTTGCCCACAGCTTGCACTCCGCCTCGACGTCGCCCTGGAAGTGTGGCACCCTGTGCCACGGCCGCTCCGGGTTGTCCTTCTCGAGCTCCCGGTCGTAATCCTCGTGGCGCGCGGCAAGGACGGCGCGCCAGCGCTGCTCCGTCTGCGCAGGCCGGGGCCGCTCGACCATGAGCGCGTCCATCTCGACGTCCGCGTTCTCCTTCTCGCCGCCGCCGCCGGCGAGCGGCTTGCGCCGGCGCCGGCGGCCGGACGCCGCCGCCGGCGCAGGTGCGGGCGGAGTCGCGCGCCCCGTCTCGTTGTCGGGCGACTCCTCGCCGCCGGCGGCGTCGGGTGCGGCGACGTCGGCCTGCGAGTCGCGAGGGCGGCCTGCACCGGCGGCGGTCCGCAACGTCTCGCGGCGCGCCGCCAGCCACGCCGTGAACTCATGGGCGATGTCGCTGTCGTCGGGCGGCTGGTACAAGCTCGGCTGGATGTGGTCCATGAAGGCCTCCATCTCGGCCGCGGTCACGTCGTCGGGCGCGTCGACGGGCTGCAAGGCCGTGGACCGCACGGCGGGGCGGCTGCGCCAAGACTGGCGCGTCGCTGACGACGAGCCGAAGCAAAAAGAGCTGGACGACGGCAAGCCCGGCTGCATTCTCGCCGGGACGGCGATCCTGATCGAGCACGAGACGCCGCCTGCTTTCGGATTTTCTTTCTTGATTCCGTTTGTTGCAAACGGAATCAGTTGCAAAACCCTGAATAAAAAAACAAAACGCGAAAATCCCCTTTGCAGCCAAGCCTACCGGGCACCTAATTTTGTCACATGCCGTATGTCAAGAGACATACACGCGTGGGCGCCCCCCGCCTCCACTCTCAAGACTCAAGCAACACAGAGGCCTCGCGTTTTCTTTTTCTGTTTAGAGAGTTTGTTGTCGGCACGCGAAGCCGCCACACTCACGCCGGCCCAATATCACGACGCTCACCGAGCAACAACAATGGACCGATTCTTCCGTCGCAACGTCGCCGCCGCGGCCACCGCCTCGGAGGACGCTCCCGCACCGCCGCCGCCGCCGCCGCCGCCCAAGGTCCACTACGGCGTGCCCGCCCTCGCGTGCTGCCTCGCAGCGGATCCGGTGCAGGGCACGATTGCGATCGGGACGGAGAGCGGCCACATCAAGCTGTTCGGCCGGCGCGGCTCCGAGCTTCTGCTCCCCGCCATCTCGCCTGCCCCCGTGCGCCACCTCGCCTTCATCACCAACCGCGGCCTCCTCCTCGCGGTGCACGAGCGGGCCGTCCTCCGGCTCTGGTCGCTGCGAGGGGCGCGCCCGACGCTCGCCGCCACACCGGTGCTCCCGGCGGTAGATTCGCTCGAGGTGAGCGTCGCCACCCTCGTGCCTCGATCCTCCATCGTGCTGCTCGGAACGTCGGACGGGCGCGTCTTTGCTTGCGATGGAGCCGGCGGGAGGACGTCGGGGCCGCACGCAGGGCTGCGCGGCGAGGCGGTGCGCCGGTCTCCCGTGCAAGCCTCTCGCCCCTTCTGCCCCGACGGGGGCCTTGCCGCCCCGACGGCGCCTTGCCGCCCTCACCCTAGGTCACCTGCCGACCAGCCTCACCTCCCCGCCTAGCCTCCCCCTCCCGCCTCGCCTCCCCACCGCTCTCTCGCCCCACGCCTCGCAGGGCGCGCAGGGAGGAGGACTCTGCGCCCTAGAGTCGCACCCGTCGACGCCCTCCCGACTCCTCATCGGCGAGCGCTGCGGCTCCCTCCGCGTCCTCGACCTCGCGCGCGGCGCACCGCCGCATGTCGCTTGCGTCTTTGGCGCTCTGCCCGCAGAGGAAGGGTGTCTGCCTCTCTCGCTCTCTCGCTCTCTCCGCCCTCGCATCTCCACCACTCTCCTCCCCGCCCTCGCCTCCCCGGCCTTTGCCTCCCCGCCTTTGCCTCCCCGCCACCGCCCTCCTCGTGCTAGCCTCCAGGCCCGTCTCGCCCACCCGCCCCGCCTCCTCCCCCGCAGGGATGCGCCTCCCGCCCGCCCGCCTTGTCCCCCCTGTGTGGTCGGCCGGCGGCGCGGTCGCTCCCTGTTGTGTCTTTCTGGCTCGTCCGGCGGCCTTCCCGGGCCGTTCCGCCCCCCTGCCCGCCTGCTTCCCCCCCTCGCGCCTGGTGCCGCCCCGGCCGCCCCGGGTTGCGTCGCTGCCCCTCTTCGGTCCCGGCGCGGGCCGGGCGTCGCCTGCGCTCCCCGCGGCTCTCCCCCGGCTGGCCTCGGCGCCCTCGGTCGGTGCCGGCTCCGCGGCGCCCGCCATTGTTTTGGGCCTT